AAGTTAAACATGACATTTTATATTTATATATATAAAATATACATATATGTGTATATACATATACACACAATAGAAATAGTCTGTATGTTTTCAAATGTTTTCGTACAAAGAAATTGAATCTTACACGTAATTATTAGATGTTCTCGCGTCACGCTTCAAGAGCAAATATTTAATTTCTCCTGAAATTGTTTCCTGAAAATCAAAAAGTAAACCGATGGAGAGAACAAGGCGACCTTCGACCATAAACTCGGAGAGACTTGACAAAAGGAATCTCGTAAAAAGTTTAAGAAGAATTTATGTCGTGAGATATCTAACTTGTCGTTACGTTGTCTGCCGCTGTTTTACTCTCAAGTTGTTAACCAATTATCTAAATGATAAAAATTATATCTTTTTGTAGCTTTTTAATTCTTTGATATATAATCCTATAGGAATGATTAATCTCTTTGTATTCTTTTTTTATATATTATTAACTTACTTTTTTATATATTACTTTATATATAATATACTTATATATGTATATATATACATGATTGTGTGGTATTTATAGATTAATTAATTAATTTAAATTAATTTTATTAGTCTTAGTGACTAAAAGGGTAAAGCAAGAATTACATATTGGTATGTAAGGTATTTGAATATTGCTCGCGCTTGCGTTTATAATATCGGAATCAAAATGTCTATCACGTAGAAACGAATGCTCTCTTTAATGAAACTCTTTGTGATTTAATTTGACGCGATCGTCTATGTTGTGCATTTGAATACATAATGCAAACTGGAAATTAAAATTATTTGCATGTAAAGTCAAACGCATTACTCGTAAATTACAAATCAAATTCGCGATGGTAACATGCGTTTATATTATTACAATTTCATGCAAATCTCTATCATCATGTGAATGATTACTGACAGCCTTTGCGTAAGATACTCGTTCAAACATTCGAATATGTACGTTGCTTTATATCAAAACGTTGAAAATATAAATCGTAGTCAAAAATTGACAGCTCTTCCGTGCAGTAGAAATATTGCACTAATGAAATAGGTGCCGGCGCGTCAAAGTTGAAATAAACGTCATCACCAATGTAGGTCTGACACAATCGAGAAATACAGCAGGAAGTATATCGGCAGCGATATATCGTTTTTGTTATCGACGGTATATCTATCAGTTATTTTACGTGAAATAAATTTGAATCGGTTTGAATTGGTTGATAAAAAAAAAGTCATTTACTGAAGTAAGACAACAAGCGTGAAAAAACAAATTTTACATATAATGTCTATTTCTATAGAACAACAACTTTGACATTAGAGACAACAAGAATCATTCTTGTGTTGTTCTAGATACAAACACCGGTGAAACGATCTTTCTCAGGTTTGCTGTAGGAACTTCGGTGATTGAAGTCCGATCAAACTTCGAAGATCGATTGTCACGTGAAAGGACTAACCAATATCTTTATTCCGTGTTACGAGAACTCGCAAGAAACTTTTACATCATTAGACGGAAGAAACTTTTAAAATAGAAGATCTCTTTAAGAAGTCTAATTATTATTATAGAAAGATCTCTTTAAATATTCTAATTATTACTTTTAATTACATATATGATTAAAAATTTGTCTGAAAAATTCACTTTCTCTTTTATCCAGATGTATGAATATTCAAAGTATATGTAAAAAAAAACTGTTATGTAAAATATTGTATTTTTACGTAATATTATACGGAGACAAATTTAAAGAATTTATTGGCGCCAAGCTAATATTTTTATTATCTATCTACATGTTAAATCAAAAAGTTCAAAAGTTCTTCTTTCTTTAGCCGTTTTCTCGTAATTGAAATTACCAGCTGTGTCGTTTGAACTTACGTAAGACTAAAAGTTTCGTTTGTTACGGAACTCTGATGTTCGTTCTTTACGAAGCTAAGATATATTCGTGTGAAGTCCGAGAAATCAGCATCGGTAACTCTCTAAAAATAAAATCAAAGAATCGTGAAAGTTAAATGTTTTTTTTCTCTGTAAAGCATCTGCGCTATGAATACGAATATTTGAATGTGGAATTGCTTTCTCTCTTGCTACTTTTATTTCTGGAAATCAATTCATGTCATGAAATTTCCATAGGAAAATACGTATCATTTGCCGTGAATAGAATCGTCAGATACGCGAGAAGAGTCTGAAATGTTCTTGATTTATGATTAATATTTTTTCCAATACTGCATTTTTTATGCAAAGTAATTTAATTTTCTTTTCTTCTAAACTCTTTCATACTTACTTTTTTTCTGCAATAAATATTTCCTTGCTTAATCAAGAAGCAATCAAGTATCATATTTATTCCGTTATAATTTTATCTTTGTTTTTTCTTCGTTCGTCTTTTATAACAAACTTTAGTTAATAACTTGTTTACCTTAGTTTTATTATTTTGCTTTGTTGCGCACTTATCTTGCAGAAAAGTTCTCATTGAAGTTGTGCACATCGTCTCTGTAGTTAATAAATAATGCAAAATAAATAGAAATGATTAAAACAGTTTTTTTTTTCCACCGTGGTACGGAAGAAGTTGTATTATTTGTAGTTCACGAAGATGAAATGCGTCAATGTTGCAAGCGTCAATCAGATTGAAATTTATCCGATTAAATTTTACAGATTTACGCCATCAACGTGCAGATTCGATTTGTGATAGATTCAATCTGTCGGGTAGAACATTTCACATTCATGTACGATGACAAGTCAGCGATGGTCGATCGATCTGTTAGACTAATCCCTCGGGAAATCGTCTATCCATGCATGTACGATCGTCTATTGCTTCGAACGCAATTTCTCGTAAAACGATTAGATTATTACGTGTCAAGAATTTGCGGAATCAACAATGTATCTATGACTGCATCTCTGAATTTAATATTTGAATTGTAACTTTTGATTGAGATAATATTACAAAAATGGTAGAGTAAATCTGCAATTAGGCGTTCAATGAAAGCGTTTACATGGACAAAAATTATTAGAGATTATCTCTCTCTCTCTCTCTCTCTTGCTTTCTCAGTTTTATTTCCGTGTAGTCTGGTAAAATGTATAACAGTTATTTATCATATTTCTAAGATAATCATGAAAATATTGTAGAAGCCAAAAATTATATTTTTATGTATTTTAAATTTCTGTGACTATATATTTGAATTTAACTGTTATTATCTCTCATAATTTGTATGTTTGCGAGACTCGAGGTGACAAGTGTTTTCAATTCTCACCTCTGAGATGTTTTGTCGACCTCCTCAACCGACTAATTCGAAAGAGAAAAACAGAGTCGATGAAAAGCGTAAAGCTGATAAGCGTACAGGGAAGGTTCGAATCCGCCGATGAAAGTAGACGCCCGAAAGATTACGCGCTCCGAAACGATTATTACAATGTGACCACATTTATAATTGTATAACGTGACTACATTTACTATTATTAACACGTTTAAGCGCGGAACCGAATTTGCTGTGCTTTCCAGGCGGCCTGACTGACGCCGTCTAAACGGAAAATTCACTGTCAATCTCCAGATACTGAAACCGCGTTTAACGTGTTAAATTTCTAATATTCTAACCAGTAATTCTATTTATTTAAATAATAGACTAATCATCAAATCCTACGAAAGATTCCTACAATATTTATACCTATTATATAATATAACCTGAGAAAAAATGGAAAACGTGTGATCATGTGAGATTATATATAGATCGGGGGTATATGGTTTTATATGATCATATAAGATTTTATGCAAGTCGGATGTAATTTCATGTAATCGTGTAAAATCAAATCCGAAATTTGACGCGATCTGATTTTATATGATCATATAGAGGAAAGTGTGTGTGTGTGTGAGGAAATTGTGCGCGGCGAGCAGTCGTATACGCTCTGGATTATTTAAATAACCAGCCATAATTTTGAACTTTTTTTAGTACTGCACTTTAGCAGTTGGTTCTCGTAACTATGCCACATTACCCCGACCGCGCCAAATTTTTTGTGTGCCAGTAGCGAAATAAATGTTTGTTAATGGTGCTTTTTTTTGTTATTTCCTGTGTGATCTAAAGAAAAGACAGTAAGCCTCTAATTTTTATTTGTTTAGTTTCACATACATATAATCTTAAACAGTATTCTTTCTTGAAAATAAAACTGTATTTTATAATTATTTTAGTCAATAAATATCCTGTATTTTAGTGAAGTTTATTAATTAATCTCGAGTCGGACAATAGTACGCAGTCACAAAAGATTGCACTGGAAAAGACTTCGGAGGATTATTTGTGTAATCACTTTAGCAACCAATTAAATGTAGACTGAAAATAGATTTTCTACAATGTCGTATATGTATTGTTTGAAATAGTTGTCCCTTTTAATAACATCCCTCTTACAGGCCAACATATAAATTTCATCATATTTTCTTATCGTTTCTTATCAATTTTATTATTATAATTCTGTTGTTATAATTTTGTATCATTAAAAATGTTTAGTTCTTAATATACGGCTTTTCTTTTTAAATTTTTCATTTATTTTCAACTCTCAATAACTGCGCACAATAACTCTATGTGGATTGGGGAATTGTGAAAATAAACTGTTCAATTATTTTCAATGGTATTAAAGTGTGTTTAAGCTTTAATCAAATTTACGTATATGATAATAGACAGTATAGGTTGTGTTAAAAATGAATCACAATGTTTCAAGTCTAATAATAGCAAAGTTACAACAATTCGTGCTTAAGTGTGCGCACAATTCCCCCACTTTTTCCTATAAATATAGAAAATCGTGTATAATTATATAAAATTAGATCCACAATTTGGCGCGCGATCTGATCACTTATATACAATCTTATATGATCATATGTTTCTATTTTTTCTCGGGAAAAGTGTATGTATTATATATTATATATATGTAATATATACTACAAAATTTAATACTAGAGAAAAAACTAATTAAATTGTATTTACTGAACAATTTTACTAACATTTACATATTATTATTTGTTTCAGTTGCATCAATTTGCGATGGGGCAACGCTACGACGGCAGAAAACGTGCGTGCGCGCGGTTGCGTTACGTCGTCGCGTTACGTTGAAAAGTTCGCGTGTGTGTTGAATGGCAGTGCAGTGTCTGAATCGAAGTAGCACGTGGAAGTGGGGCAAGATCGGATCGATTGCCGCGTCGCGACAAAACCGGTGATCGTCGTTGTCGTCATCTTCGTCGTCGTCCTTGTCGTCTCAAGCAACAAACTGCCCGCCATGAGAACCGCGTATATCCTCTCGTTGATGATGTCACCTCTTTTAATAATAAGTAGTCCGAACGCTATCAGAGAGGGTGGTATCAAAATCACTGGCAGGACTCCACCTCCTAAAAGCACAGGTAGAGGCTATTCAGGAGTTCAACTCGGCTCGGGTAGAATTTCGAATGCGACGAGGCAGCGGCCGTTTCCGACTACCACAACCACCACAATCGCGCCGTCATACGGATTGCCGTCCAAGTCTTCTATAACAAACAATCAGTCATTCGTCACTAATCTCAAGGTAAAACTTTTTCTTAATAAGAAAAAAACTATACGGGATACAATTGTTAGAGAATTATTTATTAAGATAGAAAGTACAGTCGGACAAAAAAGAACGTTTATGTATCAGACGATTGTTAAGTATATGGAAACAACGCATAGCGAAAGTAGTATCACATTGCTGTTATTGAGGAGTTTCATTCTTCAGAAAAACAAGTACTGAACACACACAAGTATTAAATCTTAATTTATCACATTGTATAAAAAAAACTATACTTGTATTATAAAACAATATTTTTTAAGTAATGCAATAGTAAGTATATAAATAAATTAGTTATATATCAAGTTGTTTAGAAATCTATATTTGTGTCAATTTTTATATAGCTTTCTTCACATATTATAAGAGTATAGCTGTTTGTTATTATCTTTGCACAAACTTTTCTTTGCGTCTCGTAATTTTATGATGACCGGCTTATGATGCGTTCTCTTTGTAAACTTTTTTGTCTCCCTTTGTGCACGCGTTGGTAGATTTTAATTAAATTATTCTTAGGGGCGCTCTTAATTTTTTTATGCTTTAGTTACTTAACTTATATTAAATTGTATTTTTGTGTGAATTAAATTCATTAAGCTTTTTTTAATTGGAATTCACAAAAACTTCTTTGATTTAACGGGAATAGTCGTTATGGAAATAATCATTTTTAATTAATGTTAATGAATTCGTCGAGTTAATATCTCGCATTATAATTAGAAATGATTATCTCGTTATTTTTTGCGTTCACACTTTCATAAAGCGAAATTCTCTAGAGGTTCCCAGTTTTCAACAATTTTATGATTTTTCTGCTTGTACGGCACACAATAAATTAATTTATTACATCTCATCTCTATTCATTGATTGTAATCAATTTATTATAATGCATAGCAATCAATTGCTCAAACTACGTTGCAAAATATTGGCAAAACTTTTTTGTCAAACAATTACTTGATATTGATGCTTTTGATGAAAGGTGTTAACAACATCGTATTGATATAAGCCAAATACGTAAGCCGCTGCCCATTCTCAGCCTATGCCGTATTCATTTGCACCAATCGATTTATGCAACAGGTGCGCGCTGGTCCATTCTTGCAGTAATAAAGTGAACAAGATGCCTTTGCTGCAGTTTTCTGATCGCTTTGAACACATTTTACGTTGTTGATCGCTAAGTTGATACGCTAAGCAATCGAAAATTATAATTGTCTCTATTATAGTAGGAGACGTTATTGTGTGCTATACTTTGATGTTGCCAAAATGTGGTAAACAAAGCGTTGACCAAAGATTTGAACGCTCATTTCAAAAGTTTGCTTATAAAACTGAGATTTAAATGCAAGATAGCAGGATACTCTGTGAAGTCAGTTTTTTTGTATTTCAGTTTTAAGTATCTTATCTAAAACATGTATATATATATATATATATATATATGTATGTATGTATACGTACAGTATACGTGTACCGAAATTTATTCCTTTGTTAATATAATAATGCAAAATCAAAAATTGCAAGAATATTAAATAACTATATTATTAAGTATAATTATATTTAATAAACATATAACATTTTTTATTGCTCCTAGAGAAAAGTGTAAGAAGGTGTACAAATTGATGCAGCAGTTACAAACTAAAAATGATCGCTCAACATGACACAGCAATAACGGTAACGATAAAATAATACGACGTATGACGAATGCGCCTTCTCGAACTTGCATGTCACAGTCAACATATATCGCGGACGACGATATTCGTTTTCTAACTCGGACCATTTGTAATGGGAACAGACGTCCCAACTCGGCGACAACTCAGCCGAAACTTTGCGAAATATCGTTTTGTGCAACCTGTTGACGATCCTTCTTACACTGTTTGACATAATACAAAAAAATGGATAATAGTTATGTCACTTGATGGATAACGATCTTCTCGACAACATAAGTTGAAACTAAGATGGAAACGCTACTCTACGCACACAATCGTGAAACACGCGTAATAAGCGTTCTTGCCGAAATTTTACATTTTCCTTATCACTCATGTAACAGGTGGGCATGATGGTGCCGCACAAATCTTTCGGTACGAGGGAATACACCAGAGCGGTCACCACCGCTATAAACACGCTGCAAAGAAGCACGAGAGGCCCGAAGCTGGGACTTTTTGAGCGATATGATCTGCACGTCAAGTTAGCAATGAAGGAGCTGACACCAAGTCCGACCGGTGAGTGTTAATTGCACTTGATTAATGTTTCGTCCCGATTACGATTTGTTTTTTACGCACTTCCTATCACATCTTTTTATATGCTACACGAGCTAAAAATTATTTTAAATTATACATCAATACTAAAAGGGAAAAAAATGAAACATTTATGTGATGTTTTTCCAACTGTGTTGTTTCGATTTTTAGTATAAAGTTAAGTTGTTGGATGTTTTGAAAGTTGCAATTGGAATCTTGTCGCATTAAACGTACTATAAGGTTTGCACTTATTCTCTTTCTTGAATTAATAATGTTTGTAAAAATTCTGAAATTCTCTGTGCTTTTAATTTTGAATTCAACACGTGCGTAGCATGCTTTAATATACGACTTTAATATGTGACTTTATGAAAACTGTATGACAAAGCGTATAAAACTAGTATTAATTCTCCAAAAGGAGGATTAAAGCATTTAATTGGTAAAAAGCATCACCGAGGCAATAGTGTTTTTATTGTTGCTATTACAAGAGATTATAAGAAGTCGTAAATACTCGGCGATATATTTCGGAACTGCGTAAATATCGCAGTAAAACTGAGAATAGAGAATCTCATAGATCGGTTCGAGTCCATTTTATCGAACGTTCGAAGCTTTTATGAAAGCTTTTATCACAGACAAAATCTGAACGTTGGTCTCTCCTTTTATCTAATATCGCGCCGCATAAAGTGCAAATCAGCACTTTATTTATGTGCGATAAAACGATTCTTCGCTATCGAGCAAATACAAAACAGAAATGTAAAGACGTTCGACGTTTACCGTTCTGAGATTTATGTGACTTATTTTTGACATACTTGTTTGCACAAAGCTATCTTTAAAGAAGACTCTCTTACATTTATATAATTATTTCGCAATTATTATTTTTTGAAAAATACTATTTTACTATTTTACACACATACACACACATAATATGTGTACGTAATAACATTTTTTGAATTTTAAAAATAGTGGGAATCCATCTTGTTTTTATTACACTATAGTCTTCGTGTTTTTGTTGGAGAGTTAAAGCATTGTATGATTGGTTTGAATATTTTACCATTGAAAGTTTCGCGTCAATTTCAGGTAGTGCAAGTAGATGGAAGTGTAATACCAGCTTTCCAATCATTGTACGCAAGTTCTGATGGAAGTGCATTTGAAACATGTTTATTTGTTGGCATTTGTCGATCAGAAATGCAGCACAGTTTCACACACACACACACATACACACACACACACAGTCGGAATTAAATAGAATTATGTATTGACACTATTATTGATTAAATAAAGATGTCAAGAAATATACGTTATTTGATTGGGAGGATCTTTAAATTAATTAAACTTCAGAATATTATTGAGCTAATTAGTGATTTCTATACAAGTTTTACAATTGGAATGTATTATAATTCAAAATTTTTATTCGCAAGTTTAACGTTATACAGCTTATATTGTCATCTGAAAACGGTTGTTTTTGTCGGACTTTTTGTCGTAACTTCAGCATTTTTGGAGAATTTAAATCCTTCATGAATTTTCTTCGCGAAGTGCATAGCCACGCGCGGCAAGTGACAGGTAGGTGTGTGTCGATGATTGGTTTGCTGTAAAAACTTCCTATTGATGTTAGCGACAACTCTTCGGAGTCTATCGAATTTATGAAAAATCGAAATCGAGGTGAAATCGGATGTTTTCGTGCTGCTGCACTTTGTCGAAAGACATAGAGTCGTCAGGCGCAGTTCTATCATGTAAATCACGTCAAAAAGCTGGACAAAAGCCAGGCGCCGCTCAGACATCATCACACTTATCGTCACACGCGCTTTCCAATGAATACATTGGCCGAGAAATAGTCATGCTTTACTGACAAAGGGTAAACCAGAAGTGGAAACGTATTTTTGAAATGCGGCTTGTTGCAAAAATAGTAACTCTTTATTCTCATATTAAAAATTCCATTCCTTAGCTTCAGAGAGCTCTCTTTAGATTGTTTCACAAATTAACAAATTTGCTTGTTCAAAGATTTTAAATATGACATGAAGAAATACTACCAATAATATACCAATATAAAAATAATTAAAGTAATTGTTTTTTTTTTGTGTTCTCTCTTTCTTTGAAAATACTACAAAAATCCTTTTATAGCTTTGGCAGTTTTGCGTGATCTTATCTGACACTTCCGCACACTTCCTACGATAACACCATTGGGAAGTAGCAAACGGCTTGTCGAAAACCGGAAGCAGCTCGACCGCAGGGCAAATTGAACATCGTGGTTAAACGCAGACGCCGCAACGGCTGACATGTGTAAATCGCGGGCCACCGCCAGAAGTCACGATCAATATCCGCGCTTTCAATATCACGGTGACAATTTCCATGTACGATAACTTTTCTGCGCGATCGCGTTCTGTTAAAAATAGAAACGGTAAAAAACGATGATCCGCAACTGATACGTCAGAAATCGACATACAGATTTAGCGTACAGATTAATCTCAGACTGAGTTATAAAAAAATTCAAATATACAATTAAATAATATCATTATATATTTACTGAGAAGCGCACATTTATAAAAAATATATATTAGTTGACGTTAATACATACGGAAGCTAAATTTTTGTGTTTTATATTAACAATATGCGGTGCAATTTCTTATACCATGTTTTCTAAGTAGTATAGAACTGTGTTACGTCAGGCAAATAATAGGAGAAAATGAAATCAACGAGAAGTAATTGAATGAATCTTCTATATCGAGCGTGTGCAATACTTTTGCCATGGCTGTAACGGAATATAAAACCCTTGAAAAGCCCGTACCAACGAACTAGAAAAGATATAACTTATACGATGAGAAAAGTTTATGTACGAACTTCGCGATTGTTGGTGTAGGTTTTGGATTACTCGTATATCGACGGTTATAAAGCTAGGTGCGTGTCAGCAGCACTGTGCGAAAATCCATCGGTAATTCCAGTCGGCGTCACAGAAGGAGGTCGCACCGGTGCCTTAAGAGAGAGCGCTCTGTTCTCTACCAGGCAAAGTGATCTACTCAATTTTACCGGTGACTCGATAATGCCTGCAACGCCTCTGATCAAGTTGGCGCTTCATCGATTATTTAAAATCTTATTAATTGTCTCACGCGTTTGTCACAAGAATGGAGAGTAGGTAAGTGAAGCTTTTGGCGAGAGCTTGCAAGCTGCCGCCATCTAGCGAAAAATATCGAAACGTTTTTACACAAAGTTTAGTTTCAACCCCCCAGAGTCTAAGAAGTTCCAGACGCTCAACAACCTTTGTCGATTTTGATTACTGTATCTTAATTGTTCAGTGATTTATATAAAAATAACAAGTCTAAAATGTTAAGATAAAATATTAAGAAATCTTTTTATAAGGTTGTTATGTAAAATAAAAAAATTAATATGTAAGAACGAAAAGTGCAATAAAGAGCACTAAAAAAGTGAGTGCGATATATGGAAATATATGTATCTATAATTTTATAATCGTTTTTTCACATGCGACATATGTTGTATTTCCAAGTTTTCAAAATTATTTGTTTGAACTTTCAATTAAATATATAACGCTCTGCACAAATAAGGTGTATAAATGGATAAATCCATTTTAATTATAACTTTAGTATATAATTTTAAATTTCGCGAAATAGTAGCCAATATAAGTTTTATTTTTATATTAATTTTTATATTAATGCTATTTTCATAGATTATACTTGTTTCTGTGTCTATAAGATAATGTTTTGAGTGCAAATAGTTGGTAAAGAAGATCAAGGGAAACATTCGAACTATTTCGCATAGTCATGCGTACAGACCGCAAAAGTTTCACGAAGTATTGTTCGAGTCGCCGAAATAGAAAATCAAGATATATCCAACAAGTTCAGAAGCCAAGTTTCAAAGACCTGTAGAAAGTATAAGTGAGCTAGACAAATGATTTCCTCCTCCTATTTTATTTCGTTCTTTTCTTTCTTTCTTCTCTTTTTATTTCGCAGCCCCCATTGTTATGCTGGCAAATCCAGGCGTGCTGATTTATGTGTCTCTTGCGGTTTTCTTTCCTGGCACTCGAAAGTGTTTCGATTCTCTAGTCGTGCTTTGTCAGAACATAATTTTTCGAAAATTTTTATTGGAAAAATAATCACAGTAAAACAACGATAATAAAAAAAAAAAGAAAAATTGGAATAGCTGCGGAATAGTTTTAATTTAAACATATCATTTTATTTAAATTATATTGACTTTTACTTGACTTTACTTTTATTTTCAAATACATTGTTTGTGATACTTATATGTGTATACATATATTGTTTTTTAGCTTTTTCTTTTACTAGTTTACGAGAATGCATGTTATATACATTTTCCAATATCTATATACGGATTGCGAATTACTGCCTTATCCGCCTTATTTGCTGGATATGGCCTTGTGTGATTTTCATTTATCTCCAAATCTGAAAACAATGGCTCGGTGGGAAGAAATTTTCGAGCAATAATGAAGTCATCGATACTGTGAATGGCTATACTTCGACGACCTGTTACACAAATACTATGTACGATAATGAGCCAGCGCTTGACATTTGTTTTTCTGAAAAATGAAATTTGTCAACGACAAATGCAATGTGATACTACTGTCGTTATCTATGCGTTGTTTCGAATACTTATCGAATTGCCTCACACGTAAATCTTTTTTTTTTTTTACACATTATAATTTATCTTCATATATAGTATATGTATATTTACTTTCAATATATGTTATCTTTAACGATAGAATTTCTAAGTCTCCATAATCTGTAAGCAATTTGCCGTTCGTGACATTTCTGTTATTTAATCGCATTAATTTCAAATCAATGACAAAGCTTTTCATACATCAAATTATTGTGAGATATACTATACGAAATCTGTTTACACAAAAAAGGAAAAGAGAGAGAGAGAGAGATGCGTCAATATTTGCTTTATTTGTTTGTTAACGAAATTGATGACAAATAATAAAATATTGAGAAATTTTCGTCGATTCTGTGATATTTGAAAAT